TGTTTTTGTTGTTGTTTCATTTCTATTTGCATGGTATCTCTTTATCCTTTCACTTTCAATCTGTATGTGTTTTTAGGTTTGAAGTGAGTCTCTTGTATGCAGTATATAGATGGTTTTTTTTTTAATACATTCTGCCACCCTTTGTCTTTAGATTGGAGCATTTAGAATATTTACATTTAAAGTAATTATTGATAGGTATGTACTTATTTTCATTTTGTTAATTGTTTTCCAATTATTGTTGTAGTTATTGTATCTTCTCCTTACACTCTCTTTCTTTGTGATTGATGACTTTTTGCAGTGTTAGGCCTGAATTCTTTCTATTACTTGTGTATCTATCATAGCTTTTGGGTTTGTGGTTACCTTGAGGTTCATAGATAGGACTCTAAATATGTAGCAGTTTATAGTAAGTTGATTTGAGTTTGAACACATTCTAAAAGAACATTTTTTTACTCTCTCCTCTATATCTTATGTATATGCTGTCATATATTTTATATCTTTTGATTCATAATTTTCTTCTACTTATGGCCTAACCTTTTTCACTTATAGAAGTCCCTTTAACATTTCTTATAAGGTTAGTTTGGTGGTGATGAACTCCTTTAACTCTTGTTTGTCTCAGAAAATCTTTATTTCTCCCTCAATTCTGATTGATTACCTTGCCAGGTAGACTATTTTGGGTTGTAGGTTTTTTCCTTTCAGCTCTTTGTCACACCTTTCTAGATTACAAAGTTTCTGCTGAAAAATCAGCTGATAGACTCATGAGGTTTCCACTGTATGTAACTGGTTGCTTCTCACAGTTTTAAAATTCTCTATCATTAACCTTTGACATTTAATTATTGCATGTTGATAATATGGAGCTCCTTGAGTTCATCTTCTTTGGAGCTCTCCATGTTTCCTGAACCTGGATCTATTTCCTTCCCCCAGATTAGGGAATTTTTCAGCTGTTATTTCTTCAAATAAGTTTTCTTCCCTTTTCTCTCTTCTCCTTCTGGGACCCCTATAATGCAAATGTTTGTTTGCCTGATTTTGTTTGAGAAGTCCCTTACCTATCCTCTTTTTATAAAAAAATTCTCTATTCTTTTTGCTGTTCAGCTAGGGTTCTTTCCATTTCCTTGTCTTCCAGATTGCTACACCTTCTTCTCCATCCTCTAATCTGCTGTTGATTCCCTCTAGTGTATTTTTTATTTCATTTATTTTATTCTTCAATTATGATAGGTTCTTTTCTGTACTTTCTCTTTGTTGAAGTTCTCACTGAGTCTAGTCTTCTTTCCAGTCTGATGAGTATCTTTATGATCATTACTTTAAACTCCTTGTCAGACATAGTTCTTATTCCCATTTCATTTAGTTCTTTTTCTGGGGTTTTGTCTTTTTTTTTTTTTTTTAATTTTTATTTATTTATGATAGTCACACAGAGAGAGGGAGAGGCAGAGACACAGGCAGAGGGAGAAGCAGGCTCCATGCACCGGGAGCCCGATGTGGGATTCGATCCCGGGTCTCCAGGATCGCGCCCCGGGCCAAAGGCAGGCGCTAAACCGCTGTGCCACCCAGGGATCCCAGGGGTTTTGTCTTTTTTAAAAAAGATTTTATTTATTTATTCACAAGAGACACATGGAGAGAGGCAGAGACATAGGCAGAGGGAGAAATAGGTTCCTCACAGGGAGCCTAATGTGGGACACGATCCCCAGAACCCAAGATCACTCCCTAGCCGAAGGCAGATGCTCAACTCCTGAGCCACCCAGGTGTCCCTGGGGTTTTGTCTTGTTTTTTCATTCAGGCCATATTCCTCTGTCTCCCCATTTTGCTGGACTGTTTCTATGAGTTAGTCAGCACAGTAACTTCTCCTAAACTTGAAGGAATGGTCTTGTGTAGTGTCTTCTCCTGTGTAGACTGTGTGTGCCTGGTGACTTTGGATGGCTAGCTGGAGCTGTCTGGCATGGGTTGGGGGTCCTAGTTTCCTCCATGCTGAGGCTACACTGGTGGGATGGCTGGAGCTAAAGTGAGTGTGGACTTAGGTGGTCCCAGGACTCGGTGCAGACAGTGCACCAGCAGGACAACTGAGGCTGAAGTGAGTGTAAGCCAATGGGCCCTGGAGCTTTTCATGCAAATTGCCCTGGCAGGACACCTGAAGCTTAAGTGGGCACAAGTTGGGGTGGTCTCTGGGTTATCTGTGCGAAAGGCACCCTGGCAGGGTAGCTGAAATGAAAGTGGGTATACACCAGACATCTTGGGGGGGGGGCACTGTGCACAGGGTGACCTGATAGGGTAATTAGAACCAAGGTGGGGCATGGGTCAGGGGGACAAGGGACACTTGATGCAGGAAGTGCCCCAGTGGGATGTCTGGAACTGAGATGAGGCATGCCAAGGGCTTCTGAGGTGCTACACAGGACCACCCTGGGATGACAGCTAAAGCAGAAGTGGGTGAAAGCGAGGGTGTCCTGAGGTATTCAGTACAGATGGTGCCCTATTGGCGTGATTAGAATGGAGGCTGGCATGGACCAGGTTGTCCAGGATGCTCTGTACAGGAGGCACCATGGTGGGGTGGCTGGAGCTGAGGTGGGGTGTGGGGTTGTGGTTCCAGGGTGCTCCATGCAGGAGGTATTCTGCAGGACAGCTGGAGCTGAGACGAGCATGGGCTAGGAATTCCCAGGGGATTCTGTGCAGGGTGCACTGTGGCAAGGCGGCTGGAGCCTCCATTAGGTAAGAGGCCCCAGAGTGTTCTGCATCAGGTGCACCCTAATAAGCTGTCTGGAGCTGAAGTGGTGTGAGCTTGGAATTTTCCAGGGTGCCTTGCACCTGTGTCACCTTGGCATGATGCTGGAGCTCTAGTGATTGCTGGACCAGGGGTGTCCCAGTGTGTGTCATGCTGGGGCTGTCTTTGTGAGACAGCTGGGGTTGTTATGGGCTAGAGACCTAGGGCTCACTGAGGTGCCTGGACCTTGTTCCTATCCACACTATCAAGGTGGATGGAGATGCAATTATGGAGCTCACCAGCCCCTTCAGCACGGAAAGAGTTCTAGCAGCTACCCCTGATGTTTTTCAGAGTTCTAGGGATTGCTCTTTTACATACATTTAGTTCCTCTTTTAAACCGTGGCTTTTCTGTGCCTCAGGGTATCTGGGGCTGGTGTGGACCAGGGGCATGGGGCTTGCTGGTGTGACAGGCTGGCCATGGTGCCTGGACTTTGCCCTCTCTGCACTATCAAGATAGAAAGGGAATATAAATCCTGGTGCTCCCTAGCCCTTCTACCCAGAGAGAGTTCCATCTGTTCCCTCACTGCCCAGCAAGTTTCTAGACCTAGCTCCTTTACACTCTCTTAAACCTTGGTTTTTCCTCTGTGCCCCAGAGTATCTGTGTCAGGGATACAGTGCTTGCTGAGGCAGCAGACCAACCACAGCATTTGGAACCCTGCTTCCATCTGCATCACCAAAGTGGAAGGGGAACACAAACTGTGCCACCTACTAGCCTCTCTGACCCAGAGAGAATTCCAGCAGCTCCCTCACCACTGGGCAGGAGTCCAGGGCTAGTTCTTCCATGTTCCAGTTGTTTTTCTAACCTTCAGTTATCCCTCCAAGCCGCAGGGCATCTGGGGCTGGCATGCACCAGTGACCCAGAGTTTGTAGAGGTGTCAGCTAAGGTGTCTCGGTCTCTCCTGCCTCTTCCTGTGGCCTCTCCACCCTCTGTTGTGCAAAAGCTGTCCAGTCAGCCCTCAACATCCCCTCAGGCAGAATTGCTCTACAAATAGATGTAGACATGGTGTCTCCATGGAGGAGATGAGCCCAAGGCCTTCCCATGTCACCATCTTAGACTGGAGCCTCTTCTCATGTCTCCAAAATACATTTCTTCTGAGAGTTTTCCCATTTTTCTCTTCTGAAACTTTATTATTTCATTTTCATATTTTGAAGGTTTTTTTTTTTCTTGACTCTAGAATTCTGGGTTGCCAGTATTTTTTCTTATAACACTCTAAGATGTCACCCAGTTATCTTCTGACTTCTGTAGTTTCTATTGAAAGGTCAATCATCAGTCTTACTATCATACCTTTGAAGGGAATGATGAGTGCTTTTTCTTGGTAGTAGTTTGACTATGATGTGTCTTGGTGTGGCTTTCTTTGTATCTATCCTGCTTAGGATTTACAGAATTTATGGGATCTATCAATTATGTATTTCATCAGGTTTGGAACCTTGGGCATTATTTTTTCAAATATTATTTTTGTCCCATTGTGTCTCCATTCTCACTCTAGGGTTACAGTTACAGGTGTGTTAGATCTTTTAAGTGTGTCTTGCATGTCTCTAGCCTTTTGAGTTTAAATTTTCTGTTTAGATAATACAGATAATTTCTTTTGAACTGACTCAAAGTCATTAATTCTGTAAGCTGTAATTCTTAGAAGAGAAAAACAAAAATAAAAACAAAGAAGATGGATTGAAACTTTAATCTAGATATGGGTACAGGATAGAAATATTACAATACCTAGCAATTAATAATCAAAAAAAGAACCAAATAATTATTTGTATATTTGATAAAAACAAGTTTTTATATATGCTGTTCTCTATTGCTGTATCATTATTCTAATTCCCTTTTCTCTCATCAAATCCCAGTGGAAGACCCATCAGGTGTTATTAAAATAGGAGTACTTGTATCCCTGTGGAACTTCCTGATCATCACAATGTTACCAGTAGTGGCAGGCAGATCACATTGTTATTAATAGTGGCAGGCAGATATTCATGCTCAAACTTCCTCTTGAAAAGGATGGTTTAAATTGACCTTCCCCGGGGGAAATACTAGAGGACCTAGCACTGGATTATTTTTCTCTCCATTTCTCTGCCGTTTCTAGTCTCTCTCTAGAAATAGTTGGGTAATTACACTGCCCTTTTCATAGGAAGTACCCTTCTACTCGATACATGTATTTAATATATTTTAAATGGGGATTATTTCTTTTAATTATTTTTAATTGAAATTTGAAAACTAAGTTGGTTTCATGATGTTGTTACCTCCCGATATCTGACACAGAGTACATCTGTTTGAAAAAGAAAAGGCAGAACGAAAAGCAAGCCTTTTGAAGAAAAACTTAGCAGGTACTGATGGATGCACCCCTTATATGAATATGAAAGGGCAAGAAGATCCCTTGGATAGTTTCCTGATGAAGGTGAGAATAAATTTTGATTGATTTTTATTAGCATAATAATACATCATTTATTTTAATAAAATAAAAAATTATTGTTTATTATATCTAATATATTGCTATATTATAAAATTATTCATATATTTATTATATATTGTATATTTCATATAAATTATACATATAGTATATAATATGAATAATGTATTTATTATAATAAAACAGGATTTTTATTATCTTGTGTTACTCCAAGAGATAATTGGCAAATGTTGAGTAGTTTGTTGATCTGCTTTTTTTTTTTTTTTTTTTTTTTATTTACTTATGATAGTCACAGAGAGAGAGAGAGAGAGAGAGGCAGAGACACAGGCAGAGGGAGAAGCAGGCTCCATGCACCGGGAGCCCGATGTGGGATTCGATCCCGGGTCTCCAGGATCGCGCCCCGGGCCAAAGACAGGCGCCAAACCGCTGCGCCACCCAGGGATCCCGATCTGCTTTTTTTTTTTAATATTCTACTTATTTATTCATGAGAGACACACACACACAGAGAGAGAGAGAGAGAGAGGCAGAGGGAGAAGCAGGCTCCATGCAGGGAGCCCAACGTGGGACTTGATCCCAGGTTTCCAAGATCAGGCCCTGGGCTGAAGGCGGCGCTAAACCGCTGAGCCACCCAGGCTGCCCTATTGATCTGCTTCTTATGGAAGGTCAGAGGAAGCAGTGCAGTATGGTTGCCTGAAAGCCTTTCTGAAGTACAGAGAGAAAGCACAAGGCAGCTCTAAGGTCTCTGTGATACTGAAGGACCATTAGAGGGAACAGAGCTGAGAGAGAAGTGGGAGGAGGAGAGATGGTGGTTAAAGAATGAAATATTGGGGTTTTACATTTCTAGCATGGGTTACTTCCTGCTGCTGACATCTGGGTTTTGGGCTCTGAATATAAGGGTTGAAGAGAGATGTAGGCAAAAGTCATTGAAACCAAGGCCAGAAATCACAAAGCTAAATTTGTGGATCATCTACACTGGACCTTGAAATCTAGAATTATGGTGTGAGTTGGGTTTAGAAAGAAGAGATGAGCTTGGTCACTAGTAGATAGCAATTCACAGGATGAGTAGAGATATCAGAGAAGAATGTTGGAGGAGGTTGGGAACCACTCTATTGCCAAGGAAGTGGCGAAAGTTTATTTTGAAATCCTTAGACTTTAACAGGTTATTATATAATCTGAATGTAAAACAAGGTCCACCAAAATCCAATTAATCTGAGGGTTTCCATTTTAAAAAATTCAGGAGCTACTTTTTTTTTTTTCAGGAGCTACTTTCAAAGTCGTTTTAAGTAATTCCAATTTTGAATGTCCCTCTTAAGTAATTCACAATAACACTTCCCAGTTTTTTTCACTTCTCTCAGGAATCTGTCACACTCCTGAAAAACTCTCCCAAACCAGCATCCACGGAACTCTGACCTTTTCTCCCATTGCCTTTTTTATTCTAGCTTCAGTAGTGATGCAAACCCATCATTACTTCAATTCTAGTCTCTTTCTATTTCTGTTTAACATGACATAAAGCCCAGAAACTGAACCTATTTACTCAGCTTCCAGAGTTGAAAGTATCAAGAAGGTGGAAAGAAGACTAGAATTTATAAAGGTAGAATGTGTGGGAGTTCAGGGAAGAAGTACAAGCATCATCCTTCCCCTACCAGCTATTTACAAAATGGAAGCAGGATGATTATGGAAGCAAGGGAAAGATTGGGGGGGGGGAATGAGACTTCTTTCATTTATACTTATACTTTATCAAAATTGTTATTAGTAATGTTCTATAAACATAATGAAGTCTTTATGGAAATAACCATTTCCCTCCCAACTTTTCACTTAATTGTCTTAACATTCATTGATGGTCCTTGCCCGATTCAATTATTTTATTAGGTGCAAAATGCTGATTCCTGTTATTCTTTCTACATTTATTAGCTCAAAATTTTCTGTAAAGAGTATAACTTCATAAACTGAGGCTCTTTGATTATCTGCTTTTCCAAGCTGAATTTCCTATGTTTTCAAAACATTTTCTCCATACTGTCATTTTAATATCTCTGATGTTTTCTCTTTTGAGTATGTATGGCCTTGTCTCCCTTATGACTCCACAACTCTTTTATTTCTTTTAAGGGCTTTGCTCCTAAAGTTTTGTATTATGACTATATTTCAAAAAAAGGAAGTAAATGTCTCCGTATTAAATTCTAAATGGGAAGTTTAACCTGTGTGTTGGCATATTTAGGATAAAAGTGAAGCTATCCTGACCAAGAACTTTGAGAGAGACATTTTCTACTCTGAAGGACCAAAAGATGGGCAGAAAATTTGGGATAACTGTCATCAAGATTCAACCCATAAGGAAAAACAAAAATATGAGTTGGACAGACCTTCATATTCATTCAGCTGGGAAACTAAAACTGCACAATCCCACTACCAGAAATTCATCAGTCAGTTGGCTACTCTTCTGAGCAACAGTATTGTACCCATACCAGCCACAGAGGAAGCTGTGAAAGAGAGGATTCAGGAAATTGGTGCAAATGAGCGGTCTTGGAAGTCTGTAGGTGTATTGACAGAGAAGTCACTCTTTCAAATTTGTTTCTTTTAACGTCGATTATTTTTAATGCATCGGTTTTGATACTAGCTGATGTAAATTCTGTGGCTCTGAATTTTAACTTTGATTTTATTTTTAATACTACGGTGATAAAAAGGAAAAGGATGTCAATTATTACAGCAGAGGTAGTGTAGTATATTTGTTAAGAGCAGATAGCCCAAGTATGAATCCCAGCTCAGCCATGGCCAGCTGTGTGCTCTTGGGCAGATCACTTATCCTCTCTGGGCCTCAATTTCATTTGTAGAATTTGGTGGTAGTGGAATGGGGTTGGCGGCTGGAATGGCATAGTTCTTATCTCACAGAGTGGTAAGGGTTAAATGGATTAATACATGATAAATGCTTAGTTCACTTCAGTGTAAGCTCTGTGAATCCTGGCTTAAAAATAGTGGTATGGTGAAGATAATATGTCCATCATGCCTAAATACTGGTCAGGTCAGTAAAATACATCATTAGGTCAGTTATTTATTTGAATTTATTGGCCAACTCTATTAAAAGATTGCACCAGGAAGTTTCAATGCATGTATCTCCTTGTTGTGTCCAAATCATTTTAGTAAAATGTCATGCCTCTTCACCCCCAAATTTATTTTTATTTTTTAATAAATTAATTTTTTATTGGTGTTCAATTTACCAACATACAGAATAACACCCAGTGCTCATCCCGTCAAGTGTCCCCCTCAGTGCCTGTCACCCACTCATCCCCACCCCCTGCCCTCCTTCCCTTCCACCACCCCTAGTTCGTTTCCCAGAGTTAGGAGTCTTTATGTTCTGTCTCCCTTTCTGATATTTCCCACACATTTCTTCTCCCTTCCCTTATATTCCCTTTCACTATTATTTATATTCCCCAAATGAATGAGAACATACACTGTTTGTTCTTCTCCGATTGACTTACTTCACTCAGCATAATACCCTCCAGTTCCATCCACGTTGAAGCAAATGGTGGGTATTTGTCGTTTCTAATGGCTGAGTAATATTCCATTGTATACATAAACCACATCTTCTTTATCCATTCATCTTTCGATGGACACCGAGGCTCCTTCCACAGTTTGGCTATTGTGGACATTGCTGCTATAAACATCAGGGTGCAGGTGTCCCAGCGTTTCATTGCATCTGAATCTTTGCACCCCCAAATTTAAATGAAGATAGGTGTTGCTTAGATTCAATGTGTTAGTAAAATCTGCTAGTCTATTTATTATAGAGTAATTTTTCTTTCACTTTTTGCTTAAAATTCATTATACAATTTGATTTCTCAGTAATGACTAAATATCTCATTTTGTATATCAAAACTTTCCATTTATTTTTCTTTTTAAAAATATATTTTTATTTATTTGACAGAGAGAGAGAACACAAGCAAGGGGATGGCAGGCAGAGGGAGAGGGAGAAGCAGGCTCCCCACTGAGCAAGGTGCCAGATGCAGGGCTCAATCTCAGGACCCCAAGATGGTGACCTGAGTGGAAGGCAGACACTTAACCAACTGAGCTATTCAGATGCCCCTCCAAATCTTTTTCTAAAATCAGCTGATACATGTCAAATCTTAAAAGTCTTCCCTCATTTACCTAGTTTTTAATGTAATGTTGCTACAGTGTCAGTGTCAGTAGAACTTGCACATAGCTTTGAAACAAAATAGGAATCATGGGCCATCAGGAGTTGTATCTATCCTTTCTCCCTACAGAGGATGGAAGGCCTGCAGCAGAAAATTCTGAGGCTTACAAAGCGCCTGGAGCAGCTGCAGCGTCACTCTGAAGAAGCCACCGAAGAATCATCCCAAATGCAAGAAAGGTGTAGGGAACAAAAAAGACCCTTGAAACGCCTGGAAGGAAAAATTGCTCTTAATGACCTTTTTCAAGAGAGATTAGACTTGGACAGAAATAAAGTAAGAATTTCCCATATAAGACATTTCTTTGACAATGAAAATGATCATATTATCTAATGTTTAAAGCTGTTAATACTATTTATAGTTAATATTGGAAAGAGGAAAATTTGCCACAAACCCTTAAATCTGCCTTTATAAAAAAGCCTCTCCTTGTTCCGTATCTCTCATTTCTCTAATACACAATGAATACATGTATTCATTGTAAGAGCATTTGTTAATGTATTTCTTAATGTACTTTAAAAAGTGGATTAGAAGGAAAGAGCTCAAAAGAGTGACTGTATAGCCAGGACATCAGGCACTGTATCAGTTAGATATGAGGAGTATCAGGAAGGGGCCAGTGATGCTGTTCCTCAGTCATTACTATGTAGACCAGTACCTTCTCTACTTTCTGCTTCTCTGCATCTGTAAGGAAGAGATGAAACAGTCAATTCTAAGAGTGGTATGGAGACAGGGTACAATATAATTTATTTTTAGGAGATTTTAAAAATTCTATTTCATTATCTCAATAGAATTGCATGTCATATCATACCTATACTATTTCTGTAATTGTTGTGGCTTCAAGCATAATCTCACTCATTCATTCACCACTCACTCATTCAGTCTTCCATTACACTCATTCGTCATATCTGTATCCAGCACTGAGTACAGAAAACTTCCAGTCCTTAGTGAAGTGGTATTAACTATGTACTCCACAGAGTCTAAGGATAAATGCAGCTTCTACCTCTGTTCCTAAATATATAATCAATGATTATTCATTTCCCTGAAAAAAATTTAAAACGCTATATTAAATTTTAAGAATATTCAAGTAACACATGCTTTCTACAACTCTTAAAGTCAAGTTAAAAGGCTAAAAGAAAACAATAATTTTCCCCAAACTTCTTTCTGCCTATTTTACCTCAGGAACTAGCAGTGTATATATTTTCTACAAATATTGCCATGGTTATGGAAATATACAAATACATATATATGTGGGTGGTGGTATTTTTATAAAACTGAGACTATGCTAGTCAAATACTCTTCTTACATAGTAAAAAGTAAGTACTTCATGGTTTTTCCTTAAGTTAAAAGATACAGATTTTCTGGGACGCCTGGGTGGCTCAATGGTTGAACGTCTGCCTTTGGCTCAGGGGTTGATCCTGAGTCCGAGGATCAAGTCCCACATCGGGCTTCCTTGCATGGAGCCTGCTTCTCCCTCTGCTATGTTCTGCCCCCCCCCCTCTCTCTGTGTCTCATGAATAAATAAATCTTAAAAAAAATTAAGGTATTCCTTTAAGAGCTCCATTGTAGTCCAGAGTGTATAGAAGTTATTTATTTAATCACTTCCCAATTGATGGGCTGTCAAATTATTTCCACCTTTTATGCCACTACAAATAATGCAGCAATAAGTAGACTTATACATATATCTTTTCACACTGGTGCTTTTCTTCCCCTATGGGATTGAGTTCTAAATGTGAAATTGTAGAATCACAATGAATGAATATTTAAAATTTTAATAGCCACTGCCAAAATACTACTTCCAAAAGGTAGAAGGAATTCACTTTCCAAATAGAAATATATGAGTGCCTATTTCTTCTTTACAGCCTAGCCAACATTGGATGATGTCTTTAAGGTTGGTTTCTTAGATTCCTTTACCTTTCTACTCGTTGCAATTTGGACCTCAGATGCAAAAGGTTGAGTTACCCAAACTCTGTGGTTCATAACACATTATCTTGAGCCATAGAAGGGCTTTCTCTTATTTATTCCATTTACGTCCATTTTTCCGTTCCCTCTTCCAAAGGAGATCAATCTCGAGGGGCTGGGATGGCTCAATTGGTGAAGTATCCAACTCTTAATCTCAGCTCAGGCCTTGATCTCAGGGTCATGAGTTCAAGCCCCACACAGTGTGGAGCCTACTTACTGGAACATGTGTGCTTCTGATGATCCTTCCTATCTTATTCTTTTAAGCACTATGAAACATTCTTTTCTTTGTGCTTTATAAAATATTGCCTTAAATTCTCCATTTTCAGAAATTATAGTTCCTAATGCAATGTTTTGTTTCATGTTTATCTGATATATCTTATCCTTTTATTTTTTGCATTTATCTTTGTGATTAAAGACAATATATGGTTGTGTTTTAAAAAATCAGATTAGAAGGTATCCAATTGGTAAATTTAACATACTTATCTTTATTACAATTATTATTATATTAGTATGTGTTTTTGCTAACTTTTTTCAAAATTTCCATACATTTTACTTTCCTTTTGATGGGTAGGAGGTGTTTATTTTCCTGGTTTCTATGAAGATACATTTTTTCCCTCTTTTTTAAAGTTATATGTTCTAGTTTTATTCTTATGTTGGTGTTCCTTAATTAAGAACCATACTCTTGGGCGCCTGGGTGGCTCGGTGGTTGAGCATCTGCCTTCAGCTCAGGGCCTGATCCCAGGGTCCAGATCGAGTCCCACGTCGGGCTCCCCACAGGGAGCCTACTTCTCCCTCTGCCTGTGTCTCTGCCTCTCTCTGTGTGTCTCTCATGAATAAATAAATAAAACCTTAAAAAAAAAAAAGAACCATACTCTAAATATTTATCAGAATATCGTGCCCCTTTGGTTGTTGACCTCCATCCCCAAATGTGTTGGTATTCTCTAAATTTTTAATTTTTGCAGTGTTTTAATATACTTTCTCTGTTTTCTTTTACTTGGTCCTAATTATTTTTAGACAACCACTAAACTTGACCAAGGCATTTGGTACTTTGTAGGATCCTGTTGTGTTATGTAAGGTGTATAATATTGCATTAGTCATGATGAAAAAATATACAAGAGCTGTAAGAGATCAGTTCTTATCACAATATGGAATTTACTGGAGATACCAACTGCTCACACAGATTAATGTCACAGATAATCCCAACACTTGAACTCACTGCAATAGCAACTGGAGGTGGCCACAAAATTATTACAGTAGTACAGGATGTAGTATAGTTAATTTTATGCAGTTATGATTTAACATTGCATCTTCATGTTTGCTTATATTTCTCTTGAATGATAATGGTTTCATGAATGATATGTAATGTTTGGGTAATTTTTGATACATTTTAACTTTTTACAATAGATTTGTGATATTTTATTTTATTTTTATTTTTTTTTAATTTTTTTTATTTAGTTATGATAGTCACAGAGAGAGAGAGAGGCAGAGACACAGGCAGAGGGAGAAGCAGGCTCCATGCACCGGGAGCCCGACGTGGGATTCGATCCCGGGTCTCCAGGATCGCGCCCTGGGCCAAAGGCAGGCGCCAAACCGCTGCGCCACCCAGGGATCCCGATTTGTGATATTTTATGATAGCAAATGATAAAGCAGACTAGTTTCTATAGATATTTTATGTATTCGTGACGTATCTAACTTTTTCTTAACTTTTCTGATATCTCTAGGCTATTTGGTTCATCTGAGGGTTTTTTCAAATTCTTGCAAATCTTCACAAGTTTTCCCAATATATTTACTGAAAAAAAAAATCTGCGTTTAAGTGGACTCATGCAGTTTTAATCTGTGTTGTTCAAGGTCAACTGTATACACACATACACAAATACACATCCTTGATGGGTACTGTCTTTCCGGAGAACCCTAATACACTTTGCCTTTTTAAATTTTTTGTTTTAATTTTTTTAAAAAAATTTAAGATTTTATTTTTAAGTAATCTCTATACCCAGCATGGGGCTCAAACTTACAACCCCGAGATCAGGAATCATATGCTCTACTGACTGAGCCAACTACATGTCCTTGCTTTTTTCTTTTTTTAATAGTTTATATTCTGTTGTCCTTTTATCTGCCTTCTTGGAGAGTTTTCAATCTAATCTTTCAACTCAGTTTGTTCCTCAAATCAAGAATTTATTTATCTTATTTATCTCACCTATGATGTTGTTCAACTCTTACATTTGCCATATCTGCTATTTCTACTTCATTGTTTTAGTTTATAATTTCTTCATCAGTTAATGTCATCTCTCCTGAGTACCTACAACTTTTAGTAAAGGTAAAGTTATAATTTTTACATGAAACTGGAAGTGATCAGAGAAAACAAGGCCTTGCCCTAAATTTCATTTAGTGGCAGGTGAAGAATTAGTCCAACAGAATCCATTTTTTTAAAAAAAAGATTTTATTTACTTGAGAGGAGAGAGCGCGAGCAGAGGGAGGGGTATAGAGAAGGAGGGGCAGAAGGAGAAGCAGACACCCCACTGAACAGGAGCCTGAAGCTGGTTTGATCCTAGGACCCTGAGATCATGAGCCAAAAGCAGATGCTTAACTGACTTAGCCACCCAGGCACCCCCCGACAGAATACATTTAAAGAAACAACAAAGGACAAAAATAAAGTAGGTTAATGTTAACACTTTGTTGAGTGTAATTGTTTAATGTAAATTTTATACCTGTCAAAGTGGCAATTTGTACATATAGTTTTAATTTACTCAGTCAGCTTTGTAATATAATTCTTGATAAAAATTCTTTTTAATATCAATATTTCAAAATGTATTTAAAATAAGATTAATATCCTTATATCCTATTTCATATATCTGTAATTTAAACATTTATAATTTAGTAATTTTAGTAATTTATAATTTTAGTAATTGGTAATTTTTGATTATTTGGTTCATATTCTCTTTCACTTTGCAGATTTTATTTTATATACTCTAGTAGGATTTTGTACTTTTCTTCATTTAAGTCCTATAAGCCCTTTGTATCAGTCTTTCTTGTAAAATGTATTTCTAGGTCTTTTTTTTTTTTTAAAGATTTTATTTATTTATTCCTGAGAGACACGGAGAGAGAGAGAGGCAGAGACACAGGCAGAGAGAGAAGCAGGCTCCATGCAGGAGCCCGATGCGGGACTCAATCCCAGGACTCCAAGACCATACCCTGGGCTGAAGGCAGGCACTAAACTGCTGAGCCATCCAGTGATCCCCTATTTCTAGGTCTTTTATAGATTTTGTCCATTGTTAATAGTATATTTTCCCCATTTCTATTTGAAATGGTTATTACAACTATAAATAAATGGATTTTTATGTTTTATTTTTTTAAAAAGATTTATTTATCTTGCATATATGTGCAAACTGGAGGGGTGGGGCAGAGGAAGAGGGAGAAAGAGAATCTCAAGCAGACTCCCCACTGAGCATGGAGCTCAGTGTAGGGCCCTGAGATCATGACCTGAACTGAAATTGAGTCTGAGGCTTAACCAAATGAGCCACCCAGGAGCCCGGCATTTGATATGTTTATATTTTTATGAACTTTCTACCATCTTACTGAATTCACTTATTAAATCCAGTAGTTTTCCTTACTACGGTTTTTTGAGCCACCCACGTGCCCCTCGTTTTCCTCTTTTTTTTTTTTTTCTTCGTTTTCCTCTTTAACCAGGCTTTCTTGGAGCATCTATTTTATTTTTCCAAAGAACCAGTGGTTCTTTTTTAATATAAATTTTACTAGCTTTTGATTTATATATAATGAAAATATATGGTATTTTTATTAAATTTGTATACCTTTTTGCTGGTAAAAACTTCATAAAGTACAGATTATTAGAAAGAATATAATTCAAACCACTAGTAATCCTACCACTGTGAGATAACCAATGTTAACATATAGGCATAGTTTTTTCTTTTTAGAGATTTTTTATTTACTCATGAAAGACACACACACACACACACACACACACACACAGAGAAGCAGAGGCATAGACAGAGGGAGAAGCAGGCTCCATGCAGGGAGCCTAACAAGGGCGGGACTCCATCCCGACCTCCAGGATCACGCCCTGGGCTGAAGGCAGCGCTAAACCATGGAGACACTGGGGCTGCCTTAGGCATAGTCTTTCTTAATCTGCTTCCTTCATTTAGCTATATCAGTAGTATTTTCTCTTAGTAATATATTTGAAACTTGACTTTTAGGGAATGTATAATCAATCATATGTCATTTATTTAATTTTTCTTTTTTGACATTTGCATTGTTTCTATTTTTCCATGTTGTAAATTATGTAAAGAATATCTCTGTAGGGATCCCTGGGTGGCGCAGCGGTTTGGCGCCTGCCTTTGGCCCGGGGCACGATCCTGGAGACCCGGGGTCGAATCCCACGTCGGGCTCCCTCCATGGAGCCTGCTTCTCCCTCTGCCTGTGTCTCTGCCTCTCTGTCTCTCTCTGTGTGACTATCATGAATAAATAAATAAAATATTTAAAAAAATAAAATTAAAAAAAAGAATATCTCTGTATATGAATCTTTATCTAAATATTTATTTCCTTTTAATACATTGCCAGAAAAGTTGATATAATCTATGTTACCATCTGATGTTCATAAAACTGTTGACACTGAGCCATCAATTTTATTTTCAAGATTATTTTAATAATGCATATTTATGGTAGAAAATATTTTACGTATGCAGAAGTATTACTGTCTGCAGTTTATTAGCCTAGAGTAGATCTGGTATGCTAGTGTGGAACACCACCTTAAAGCACAACTTCTTTATTTCAATACTGTTGATCTCTACAAAGGAAAATTCTGGGACTAAGAATTTATGGATAGACGAGCATGGCAAGATATCCAGACAGCTAGAGAAAGACAATGAGCAGCAAACATTATTGGATATTCAGCAGAATTTACAGATTGCTACAACTCAAAGACTAGAGGATAAAATTCAGAAACTTCAGAAACAGCTCAGTGATTTGAAATTGTCAAATAAAAGTATGAAAACTCAACTTACAAGAGTAAATGTCCTTAAGGTAAGCAAAGGAAGTGAGGCTTTCGAAAACTTCTTAAGCTTTAGTCTGTTATTATTTTAGCTGCATGTTTCTCATTGAATTTTTTAAAAAATTAACATTAGGGGATCCCTGGGTGGCGCAGCGGTTTGGCGCCTGCCTTTGGCCCAGGGCGCGATCCTGGAGACCCGGGATCGAATCCCATGTCGGGCTCCCGGTGCATGGAGCCTGCTTCTCCCTCTGCCTGTGTCTCTGCTTCTCTCTCTCTCATTCTATGTGACTATCATAAATAAATAAAAATTAAAAAAAAATTAACATTAAAATTATTTTATATAAACACATGAGTATGTATAATATTAAAGCATATTGGATAATAAAATTAGATGCATTGACATCTACCACTTATTTTAAAAACCAGAATATTATCAACCCCACTGAAGCCCTCATATAATCTCTTCCCTACTTGTCAAAGGTAACTGCTTTCTAAATGTTAGGATTCTAGAGTCCTTGCTTTTTTAATTTTATTTTGGTCTTTCTTATTGGTGTAATAGTTAAAAATTTTATTTTGGAGGCTCCTCTTTGGATTTTCTTCATATCAAACTTCACTTGTCGTATTTCAAACATACATTTTATGACTTAAAGGTGCCCTACTTACAGATCAATGTTATTTTGCCATTTTATCAGCAATATTTATATTTCTGCAAAGTCAGTTATTTTCTCTATTTCTGAATTTAGTTAGAGACTGTAAGACTTTGAGGACATGAATCCTCGTTAAACCCCTTTAAATCTCAAGTGCCTGTTTATAAAAGTACGTAGTGACTTATTGATGAGTATGATGGTTGAGAAATGTCTTTTTTTTTTTAAGATTTTATTCATTTATTCATGAGAGACACAGAGAGAGGCAGAGGCAGAAGCAGGCTCCTTGTAGGGAGGCCAATGCAGGACTCGATCCTGAACACTGGGATCATGCTCTGAGCTAAAGGCAGATGCTCAACCTCTGAGCCACCCAGGTGTCCCAAGAAATGTCCTCTTATTTCATAAATTGTGGAATTTTCTTTGTTTTCCATATCTAAAAAAAAAAGAGAGAGAGAGGGAGAAGGAAGAGGAAATGAAACATGGGTTATAACATGGATCTTGTCTTTTATTTAGAAGAGATCTAATTAGTCACCTCCCTTCCCCCAACCTCATACCTTCACAGGACAAAACAATTGAGAAGCTCAGGCAATCTTTAACACAAGTTGAAGCAATGGAAGGGAAGGCAGTTATGAAAGCAGAGAACTTGAAAACTACAATAGACTCTGCCAAGCAAGAGGCAAGAGGAGACAAAGAGAAAGTACACCAGATGTTAAATGCTGTCACTCCTGAGCTCTGCACAGCAAAGAACACGCTTGATAAAGTACCAGGACAACAAGAGGTTTGTTTTGTTCGTTATTATATAAAGGGTCTTAAGCTGAAGTGATCAACACTCATCTCAACTTAAGACTCTATCTGAGCTAGACAAAAAGGAGTTTGTTTATGGAGTCAAAGGTGAGTTAAACAACCAGACCTCTGGGGGCGCAGAGCTGCATTTGGGCTGCCAGATCAGCACCTGGAGCCTTCTAAAGTTTTCTCACCATCTCTTCTTAGCATCTCTCTGTGTGTGTCAGTTTGTTTTGTTTGGAGATTCTGTAACAGGAGAGAGAATCCCAGGAAAGGATCTTATAAGCCCAGTTAAGGTCAAATATCTATTCCTGGTGAATCTACAGCAGCAAGGGATGGCATACATGATTATCTTAGCTTTGGTTTGCATATACATCCTCTGATTAACCAATGACAAGAGGAAAAAATGTCAGAGAATGGAAGTTCAAAGGAAACCATGTGTCTGCGGCTGAGTCACTTTCTAGGAAAAGAGGATAGTGCTTCTAAATTTGCCTAGATTTTCACTACATTGGTAAGGCAGATGTTTTAAGAGACTTTTAAAAAATATTTGAGACAGAAAGAATGAGTGGGAGGGGCAGGAAGAAGGAGAGAGAAGCTCATGCAGACTCCACACTGAGCTCAGAGCCACATGTGGAGCTCAATCTCACAACCTGATCACAACCTGAGCCAAACCAGGAGTCAGACACTTTAACCTACTGTGCTACTCAGGTGCCTCTGAAGAGAATTCTAAAAAGGCTGATAATTTGGGGGTACTGTGGAATTATATGCCACATCTCTATTACCAGTTGCTTAAGAAATATGTAACTTTAGCTAATTACCTTAAAAGATTCTTGAGGCAAAGTCATGATATTTTTTCTCTTGTTAAACTTCCCCATATTTATATTCTTGTTTTTTACTCTTCTCAATATCCCTTACTATATTTTCAGTCAGCTCTCTTCTCCTTTGGGTACTCTGTAGTTGACTCTTTACTTGAGAGGATTTTGTCTTGTTCTTGCCTGAGTTCAACCATCACATCTTCCTTATCTATGAGGCATATTGGATATCTTTTGTTGTCCATTTTTATCTTTTTATTTTTTATTTTAAAAGATTTTATTTATTTATTCATAGAGACACACGGGGGGCGGGCAGAGGCACAGGCAGAGGGAGAAGCAGGCTCCATGCAGGGAGCCCGATGTGGGACTCGATCCAGGGTCCCCAGGATCAAACCCCGGGCTGCAGGAGGCGCTAAACTGCTGCGCACCACCGGGGCTGCCCTTTATCTTCTTTTTAAAAAGATTATTTATTTGAGAAACAAAGATAGTGACAGAGAGCGTGAATGGGGAGGAGACAGAGAAGCTTGCTACTGAGTAAGGAGCCTGAGGCAGGACTCAATCCCAGGACCCCCGGGATTATGATGTGAGCCAAAGGCTTAATCAACCGAGCCACCCAGGCACTCCTGTCCATTTGTATTATGAATTACTATATTTCTGATTCAAAGTAAAGGTGTTCCTGCCCCCCTACAATGTCTGCAAATCCTTGTTTGAAAATGTTTTTTAAAAAAATTTAGTTGAGAGAGAGTGTGCATATGTGTAAGCAAGGGAGGAGCAGAGGGAGAGGTACAAGCAGACTGTGCTGAGTGTGGAGCCCATGGAGGGGTCAATCCCATGACCCCAAGACCATGACTTGAGCCAGAAATCAAAAGTCAGATGCTTAACCGACTGAGCCACCCAGGTGCTCCTAAATTTAATCTATATCAGGTATTGTGTCAAACATGTTTCTTTTGCTCTGTGGCAGTTTTGGGGGGAGGGGAAGTATTTTCATCACTTAACTAGCTATTTTCTTCTTTTTTTAAAAAAATGTTTTATTTATTTATTCGTAAGACACACACACACACACACAGAGGTAGAGACACAGAGAGAGAAGCAGGCTCCGTGCAGGGCACCTGATGTGGTACTTGATCCCGAGACTCCAGGATCATGCCCTGGGGCGAAGGCAGGCGCTAAACTGTTCTGCCACCCAGGGATCCCCTAGCTATTTTCTTCTTAAAGAAATTTGGAAGGATAGTCTTTGCCATTTATCCATTCACTTTAAAATCCTTTTAATTGCCCTCCCCTCTCAATTTCAGGTGTTTTCACTTTAGGGTAGTTACAGGGCAGGGTTTACTTACTTGGTTTCTTAACTCAATACTACCCTCTTGTGTTGGCACAGTGAGTGCAGTTTCTGAAGTCTATCGTGTCAAGCCTTTTGTGATGGGGTGGGGGGTTATGTGATGCCTGATTCTGCAATGTTCTTGTTTATAGAAGTACCTTCTTTTCCAAAGTTTGCTTTTTTCTTTTCCTTTATCTCCAAACCTCCAAGGAATACCTCACCTTTCTAAGTATCTCCCTCTCTCCTCAGAAACCCTGTCCTTCAGAACTGCCATTTTTGGGAGTGCCTGGGTAGCTAGTTGGTTAAGTGTCTGACTCTTGGTTTCTGCTCAGGTCATGATCTTGGAATCATGGGATGGAGCCCCAAGTTGGGCTCTGCACTGGGCATGGAATCCACTTCAGATTCTCTCTCCCTCTCCCTCCCCTCTCTGCTCCTTCTCCAGCTCACTTGTGGGCACTAGCTCTCTAAAAATTATTGGTCTCATTGCTTCAAAGCCCCTTTCTTTTCCTTTGCACTTGCCAGTTTTCTTATCCACCAGGTCTTAGACTTCTTAGTATTTCCCCATTTATGCTTTGTCCTATTTCTGGGATACCAATGGAAACCAGCTGCATCCTCCAATGTGGGCTCAGGAGCTGCCTCTGCTGGTTTAGGATATTTATTTTCCACAAACTGAAGTCTGTGATATTCTCTACTTATGCTTTAGATATGATTTGTGAGTGGTTATAACTGCTTTCCTTAGAAGATCACTATGGTTTTTGGAGGAGAAATGGAAAGAGATGTTTAGGGGACTACTATTACCATACAGCAAATCCAAACTCCCAAAAGGAATTTCCTTAGGGATGAAAAACAAGCAGCAATAAAATTAGGTTTATTCTATAAAGTGTAAAAATAAAATCTTAAAATGAAAAGACTTTTAAATAAAGAGTTCTTGTTATAAAGAGACCATATTTCTAGCTTAAAAATAAAACTTGAATGTAGAATGTTACATTTCATAAAGAAATGCTTAATAAGACTACATTTCGGATACCAATTTCATTGTACACAATAAATAGGTGACCAAAACGAATGATATATCTTGTGTTTTGGGTGGTTCTTTGTAGCTTTCTGATTTTCGAGAAACTATTATGAAGATGTTGGGATTTAATGTGAGAACAGCTGACAAGAAAATCATCAATCACCTAAGGCTTGTTATACAAGATTATGAAGGATCTAAGAAATCAAAGATTTCTTCTGATTGTAAGACTAGACAGGATAATGAATAAAAAAGTTTGGTCTACATTGCTGCCAGCAAGAACACAGAAGATATAGACATGTCTTCCAACATCTTGAATTGGCTACATTATGAATAAAATGCATTGGGAATTTTTCACTTGAAAAATTCTCTCCTTTGATATTTGGCATTTAACTTTTGTCATTATCTTATTCTATATATTTATTTATGGTCTAGTCTTGATTGTTACTTATAATATATACAATATCTTTATTACTACTACTTTAAGTAGGATATTAACCAGAACTTGTGTTCTTAGTTGGAATATTTATAGTTAACAGACTATTTCTAAAATGAACAATTTTGGGATATACATCCTTACAAATTCAGGTAAAGTTGTGTTCTATAATTTGAATCTGTCTCATCTATTTGATTAACTGAGAGTGTGAAAGTCAGATATGAAATGTTGAGTGGTAGGAAAGTAAGAATTCTTATAAATGTGCAACAGACTGTTTTGTGTTTTTTTATTTTCTTAGGACTTAGTGTTTGACAGTGTATTTCTAACTTAATCTCTAACGAGATTTTTAACGAGTTACTTTTTAAATAGCATAATTCTTATTTATTTCATTTAAAATTGGATACTGCTCCTCTTCCAAGGTAGTGTTAGACTTATCCAAGATGTCCTCTGTAGGAACAAATCAGAATCTGGAAAGGCCTATTGACACTAAATGCCTGCTGTGGTTATTTGAAAAGATCTCCTGTGGGACTTAGTTTTAGAAGCTGCAAGGTGGGAGGTATCAGGTTTTCCTGGAGCTTACAGAAGTTGCACTTTAGAGAAAATGAATATCCTAAATACTCAGTAAAGGACAAGATGAGAATTGTTCAGTTTCAATGGTCACAACTGTCTTCTCAAGCAGTGTGATAAGTCACTCTGGTGTACTGCAGGGATCCCAGCATGCCACAGAGTATTTCAAATTTTAAGGGAAAACAGTGATACTTGACATTTGTCAGGAAAATACTTGAACTGTCACCAATAGTTTCAATATTGGATCACTCTTCATTCTTTGATAACATCCTCTTTGAAGGAAATTGCCCAGGGCTTCTCAGGATTTATAAATCTGTTGCCAAGCAGGAGTCCGTATTTGGTATCAATACCTGGGAAGTTGACTCCAGGCTCCCTGGTTGCAATGTATGCAGCTCACTTACCTTTGCTCTCAAGAGCATCCTCATCCCTGACAAAGGAGAAAGGTAGGGCAGCCCTGGCCAGAGCTTCCACCTGCTGCCTAACCTGCTGAAGCAGTCAGAAGCACCTTCTGTGTTCAGGATTCCCCTAGGGTCATGGCCCAAGGTTGGTTGCTGCTGCAGCCTCACAGAGCACACACAGCTGGAGGGACTGACTGTACTACATCAGGAACCAGGCAAGCTGTCCTCTGCTTTCTAGAGCTCTTCTTTGAGGCAGTGCAAATACTACCTGTTCCTGGAGTCAAGCTTTCCACAAATGTAAAAGTGCCAAGGTGTGGCAGTTTCTGAAAGAGCCACTTTATAAACACATTAAAGAAAAAAATCTGTAAATACCAAGAGGACTTAGTCTTAATACTCCTTCATAAATTGTGTTAATAGGAACTGATTGTCCAACCATGGAGTAGTGTAAAAGGTGAGCTATATTATTTTTTCTTTTCAAACTTACACATACCTTACTTGATTGAAAGCCTTATGGTACATACGATGTTTAATGTAGTTGAGCTCAGCTTTGTTTACAATAACCTCAGTGAGCTGTATTTGGGCGTTCTGTGCTTGAGATGGCTCAATTGCTGCTGTTATCATTGGTTTGTTTTCTTTCAGGATCAAGGTGGGTACTTTCATGTAAAATCTTATTTTTAATTTCTTCTCTGGCAATTCTTTCCTGGATTCTTAGCTTTACATACTTATATACAATAGGATCAGCATCCTAAAGTCATGAAGTTCAATCCTCCTACTCCAACATCACATGATCTTCTAATTCTACTAGTTAACCAAAAATGTCCAAGGCCAGCTACAACATATCCTAATGAACCAGATGATATCCAATCCCATGCACAGGGAATGTTTTTGACATCTAAAATTCTTAGGACCTCAAAGGGCATCCCCTTGGAAGATTCAGTGGGCTCCAGTGCAACAGCCATGGGCTCTAGTGGGCTCTTGTGGCCCCTAGCTATGCTAATTCTTGAGCAGACAAGGAAGAAGGACTCTTCCAGTATGTGGAACAGTCTTTACTAGAACTGCTTTCAATCCCGTCGCCAAATTACTGACACACTGTTCTTCAATGATGAAAACTGGGTTTAGATTTAAAACTTTAGATGAGCAGTTGTCAATTTTCAGATGTATCAGAATCACCTAATGAACTTAATTTTTTTTTTTTCTGGGACTATCCTGAGATTCCAATTCAGTTAGCGTGGTGTAGGGATGAGGTATGGATATTTTTTTTCAAAGCACCTTAAGTCTATGAATTGATAAAACTACTTTGGAAAGCAGTTTGGGCAGTGTATTTCCTTTTTTTTTTTTTTTTTTTTAAAGACTTTATTCATGAGAGACAGAGAAAGAGGCAGAGACACAGAGGGAGAAGCAGGCTCCATGCAGGGAGCCTGACATGGGATTCGATCCCAGGATTCCAGGATCATGCCCTGGGCCGAAGGCAGGCGCCAAACTGCTGAGCCACCCAGGGATCCCCAGGCAGTGTATTTCCTGTTGCTGCTGTAACAAATTATCACAAACTTTGTGGCTGGAACAATATTATCATACATTTCTGGAAGTGTCACCAGGTGTTGGCAGGGCTCTGTTACTTCTGGAGAGGAAAAAATCCATTCCCTTGCCTTTCCCAAACTCTAGAAGATGCCCACACTCTTGGCTCATTGACACCTTCCACCTTCCAAACCAGGGACATCAGGCCCTTCTGGTCTTCCACACATTGCCATTTCTCCAACTCCCTCCTGCTTCCCTCTCCCTGTTTTAAGTACTCTTGTGATTACACTGGGCACACCTCGACAATCCAGAATAATTATTTTAAAGTCAGTTGATTAGCAACCTTAATTCCCTTTTGCCATGTAGCCTAAAATACAAGTTCCAAGGATCAAGATATAGACTTTTTTGGGAAGTATTATTCTGCTGACCATAATTCACAGCTACCCAAATTGAATACATACATGCCTTATAAACAAGAAATTTTATTCCTATACATATACCTACCTAATAGAAATGTACATATATGGGGCACCTGGGTAGCTCAGTCTGTTAAGTCTCTGACTCTTGGTTTCAGCTCAGGTCAGGATCTCAGGGTCATAGAATTGAACCTCCTGTTGGGCTCCTCACTCGGCAGGGAGTCTGCTTCTCTCCCTATGCCCTCCTTTGTACTCTCCCAAATCTTTAAAATAAAATAAATGGAAAAAAAGAAATGCATATATATATATATATGTATATATATATTTATACTAGTGTGTATATATATATGTATTACAAAAAGACATAAAATTATTCATAACAGCATTGTTCATAATTGCCCCAAACTGGAAACTGCCCAAATGACCAAAGCAAAGTTAATACCGCAATAAGATCTGCTAGTTACGCGGTAAGATCTCCTTCACTTGTGGGACAGGGAGAGGTCAACTGGAATGAATTTTCTTACGGGCCAAACTAGAAAGTGACTCTAGGCCTAAGACTAAGGATTTGGCAAATAGAGAAATGGTAAATTTTAGGGGCTCCATTGAGCATGCAGGAAGCCTGTGAGAACTAAGAACTACTTGTTGCACATCTGCTGTTAACCAACCAGCCTTATAACCCTTGGTCAAGTCCTGGGTTGAACTCAAATACTAAAATAAACCTCAAAATTAGGAAATGTGGTCTGGATTTCTGACCTGTGACTCTGGGGTTTCAGAAAGCCCCAACTGCCCTAGCACAAACATTTTTCGGGTCAGATTAATGGAGCTTGTTGCCCCAGGCCAGGAGCCATCAGGTACAGCCACTTTCTGCCTGGGGGCCGTTTCCTCAACTGCAAGGTGCCATTTTCAGGCCTGAAAGGCTGAGAGCCACTTCCTCTGTCTTCGCCTGCCTGGTGTGTCCCAGATAGGGAGCATTTCCTTGCTTCCGCAAAAGAGGGCCCATTAGGACCCGTACAAACCTACTCTGAAGCCTCGCCTGCGGCCCAGCACACCCTAGCGACGAGTGCGGCTGCTTATGCCAAGACCACGTGCTTGGGCAGGATTCCTGGTCAAGATCCTACAACCGACGTCGCCAAACCGCAGGTGCGACCCCGGGCAGCGCGCCACCGCCCACACCGGCCTAAGCGACCGGTCAGCGAGCGCGCGCCACTGCGCCTGCTACTGCGCCTGCGCCCCGTCGAGCCAGCCGCGCTCGGGCGGCTCTGGGGGGCGGGGACGGAAGAGGCTCAGAATTGCGGCGGTTGACGAGCGTCGCTGAACACGGAAGGGGGCGAAAAAGACGCAGGGTACCTTGGTGGTGACTCGCTGGCAGACGTGATTGGCTGGTGGAAGGCCCGTTTCAGATCGCGCCTCCGTGGGGGGCGGGAAGCCGCCGACGAGGGGCGGAACCCAGCGATTCCAGCCCAGCCGAGGGGCGGTCTCGCGGGAGAACAAGTTGCGCGCGCGCGCGGGAGCGGAAGCGGGAGCGGGAGCGGGGCGCGGCTCCCGGGCTGGGCGGACGCCGGCGGCGTGGGCGTTCTCGCGAGAGCGCGCAGTGCTGGCCGGGGGGTGTTCTAGCCCGGCCTCCGCCCGCGCAAGCTCTCGGTGGCTCCCGCATCCCCGAGTCGGAGGGCCCAGGTGGCGTCAGGAACCGTCTTAAAATCTCAGGTGACGCCTGCTCGGCCACAGTCGGAGCCAGCGCGCTGTTTTTGGCCCTTCTGATCCGGAGCGCCTTGTGGCTCCAAGTACCCGGGGTGACCTCGGCTGGTCCTTCAGCGTGGGGAATCCGCTCTGCAAGCCTAGATTTTATCAGCTCCCTGGCGCAGATCTGGGTTTGGAGAGGACAGCAGGCCTTGCGGAAACTGGATGCTAAGTGACCAGCATGGGCGGACACCCCTTCCTGCAGGCGTCCAACTCTGCATAGTGAAACGGGGCTTTGCTTGGGGAGCAGGACAGGAGGAGGGGGGCAGGTGCGGTGCTTGTGAGGACTGGCACTGCAGGCTTCGGAGTTGGCTGCTTTCTTTCCTGGAGGAGCCTGGCTGGGTTCTTATTGCACTGTTATCCTAATATAGGACTTTTTTTTTTTTTAGATTTTATTCATTCATTCATGAGAGACACACAGAGAGGCAGAGACATAGGCAGAGGGAGAAGCAGGCTCCCTGCGGGGCTCCATCCCAGGATCCCGGGACCAAGACAGCCAAAGGCTCAACCACTGAGCCACGCACGTGCCCCCAATAGAGTTCTGAAGCTAGGTTGTTCAGATCACTTTGGACTCGACCAAATACTGGTGTTTCTTTCATAAACCATGTTTTAGGATGACCTAATCCGTTGCAGAGCTTACTTACTGAATTTCATTCATTCTCTATTTGCAGGTTTTTATTAACAGTTTTATTGAGATGTAGTTTACAAGGCTTACAATTCACCTGTTTTACGTGTACAATTAATGATTGTTAGCATATTTACCCGGTTGTACAATAATCACCATAATGCAATTAGAGACGTGATTTTTTTTTTCCTGGTAAATTGCCTTTACTATTCTCAAAGTTTGCTCAAGTGGACATTTAAAGATACAGTGTAACAGAAGAGACTCTGAAGATGTACACTCAAATTGTTGTACCTGAGTAGGTGAAATTAAGAATTCAAGCATATTTTTTCCTAGATGTTGCAGGTAGTGGAACTTGTGTATTGCAATCCAAAGAGATATTGTATCAACGATCTCATTTTCTGAGGAATATGGCATAAATACCATTTTACAGATGAGGAAATTTGAAGGATAAATTGCCTAAAGCATCATAGCTGTGCCTAGGCTAAGCCCCTATCCTGGATGCTTTATCTCTAAATTTATTGGCTTTGCCACTTCATCAGCCTGATTTTCAGTTATACTTATGTATGACCTATAAAATTCATTCATTTATTAAGCAAATAATTATTGAGTGATCAGTATGTCAACAACTACATAAAACTGCTCTAGGTGCTAGAGATACTGTAATGAACCAGCTAAATTCCTACCTCAGCTCATATTCTTGTGGAGGACACGATCAATTAAAGAAACACTAATTTCATATATTGAGACATGGCATTTTTTAAAAAGAGGCAAACTAAGAATATAGAGAATGGTGGTGGGAGGCAGGATCTGTCTTGAGCAGAAATCTGAAAAAAACAAAGTTGGCACATAAAGGATTTGGTTTGAGCAACTGTAAAGATGAAGTTGCAATTTACTGAGTTGAATTAAGATTAACACTGTGGAAGAATGAGGTTTTTAGGTTAAGATCATGAATGTAGCTTTAGATGTTTTTAGATGCCTTTTAGACATCCAGTTGGAGATATGGTATTTAAATCCAAAAGATAGCATGTGATTTGACCAAGAGAATGGTCAAATTCAGGAAGATGAGGAGGAACCAAGAGGAAAGACTGACAAAGGGGAGTCTAGTGTGTTATGAGGAAAAGCAAGAGAGGATATAGCGTTGGAAGACAAGTAAAGAAAGTGCTTTGTGGAAGAAGTGGTAATTGACAATGTGAAAAGTTAGATTGATCAGGTAAAATGAAGACTGAGAATGGCCATCTGTTAAGAGAATAGAAATACAGTTAAATAACATAGGCTTGAACTGCTTGGGTGCATGCAGATTTTTTTTTAAATCACCTTAAAAAATACAATAAAAAATACAATATAGCACTATAAATATATTTTCTCTTTCTTGTGATTTCCTTAATAACATTTTCTTTTCTCTAGCTTACTTTATTGTAAGAATACAATACTACTAAATATGTTAAATCAACAGTTGATTTAACAAATACACATGACTGGGTCGTACCCTGAGTTCTGATTATGTTATCAGTAAGACATCTGGTCAAAGTAGGCTATTAGTAGTCAGAGTTTTGGGGAGTCAAAAGTTATATGTGGATTTTCAACTATGCAGGAGATTGTTCCCCTTCATCGGCTTCAATGTTCAACTGTACCTGAAGTCTTTTGATACAAATGTTTAGAGTGGCAGTTACTACAAAAACAGTGTTTCCTCCTTTTTGAGGAGGTATACATTTTTACAACCTTTCTGAAGCGTGGTTTGATGTTATCTAAAATTTAAGTGTATGCTTTCTTTGGCCAAGTAATTTCACTTGTAGGAGCTTATCCTACAGAAATAGTTATAATATACATAAAGATACATATACATATATAAAGGTATTTATCACAGCATTGTTGGCAATTGGAAAAAAAACAAATTTTTATCAAAATGATGTAGTTTTAAAGGAAAGATATTAGCATATAGATATGAAAGATAACTGCGACAGCCTGAAATTTGTCCCCTCAAAATTAAAAGATTGAAGCCCTAACCCTTAATGTAGTGGTATTTGGAAGTGAGACTGTTGAGATGTATTACATTGAGATGGGGTCTCAAGAATGGGACCCCTATGGTGGGATTAGTATTCTTAAGAGAAAGAGAGACCTGAGCTCTCTTTGCCATGTGAGGACACTACAAGCCATGAAGTGGATGCTCATCAGGAACTGAATTGACGGGCACCATGATGATGGACTTCCCAGCCTCCAGATATGTGAAGAATGTTTGTTGTTTAAGCTATGGTTAAGCTAAGTTAGTCTTGAAGCAGACTCCTTGCTGAGTAGGGAGTCCACATGGGCCAATCCCTTGACCCATGAGATCATAACCTGAGCTGAAACCAAGAGTTGGATGCTCGGCTTATTAGCCACCCAGGTGCCCCAACCACTAATTCTTTCCTGCTGTTTCCTTCAAAGAGTGGTGGCAAATTTCCCTGCTCTTGGGTGTGGGCCGGACTTAATCACTAGCTTTTAATAAGTAGAATATTGCAGAAGTGGAGGAATGTCAATAGATCGTGACGGCTTCATGACTTCCTCCTTGTTCCCTCTCTTGCATCATTCATTTGGGTAAACCAGCTGCTCTTTCATGAGGACATAGCAAGCAGAGTTTGGGAAAGTCCTTTGTGGCAAGAAACGGAGGCCTGCTCTCAACTTAAGCCTTCTGTGGTTTTTTTTTTGTTGTTCAGTCCCAGTTAAGCCGTCAGATGATTGCATCTCCAGGTGATTGCTTGACAGCAATGCCACAGGAGATACTGAACAGGATCACTCAAAGAACTCTCAAAATCCTGTTGGATAATACATGTTTGTTGTTTTAAGTCCCCATGTTTTGGGGGTAATGTAAGCATCAATAAATAATTCTTTGTAAATGTTACATTCTCTTGCTAATACTTACTAGCTGCATTCCTGAGAAAATCACCTTTTCTTTGCCTCAGTTTTATCATATATAAAAGAAAATATTTGGACAGTCCTTCTCAACTTTGTCTTCACATTAGAATTTTCTTCTAAAATATATACTAGTTCCCACCCTTAAACCAGTTAAGAGAAATCAGAACTCAGGGTACGACCCAGTCATGTGTATTTCTTAAAGTTCTCTTTGAGATTCTAATATGCAGGCTGGTTTGAAAACTTCTAGATGATCTTTGGGCTTTCTCCTATTCTGTTATGACTAATATGTAATTGGGACACACTTTCAACTTCTATGAAAGCATCTCCCTGGAATTCTTGAGATACATGATCTGCCTTAGGATAGACAATGGGATTCTTATTTATGTTTTCCTGATGAGATAGATACATAAGGATGAAAAAAATTTGACCTATTTTAAGAATATCACAGAAGAATTACCCAAAATATGATTTTCACATTTGCTGAAGTCTTTGCTTTTGATGGGATCATTTTCTTAGTGCTTTTCTAGTGTTTGATGAAATCCACATTGTGTTTTCATCTTATTAATCAAGAAAGTAAAGAGCTGTGTCTTATTGGATCATTTTTAAAGCCCCCATGCTCTTCTTTTTGGACTTTTATGAAATGTTCACCTAGTGAACTGCTCCTGCTTTTTTTTTTTTTTTTTTTTTTTGCAATAGCTTTTTTAACGTACAAGCATTCTGCCACTAGTGCAAACATTCATTTTGGAGACATCAAATCTTCTGGGATTTACATTGGATTTGGGTTTTTCTCTTTTACCGGATGTGGTAAAAATTTGTGGATTTTAACTTTCTATGTAGATCAAGCAGTATTCTTCTAATGTGAAGTTTTGATAATTCCTATGAGTGTGTAAAAATTAGGAGTAGGAGTGACATACTACCCCCAAATCATAGAACAATTGAGTTACACTACTGTTTGCCCATTTTTATTACAAGGTGCCAAATAACTTTCATTTTTTAAAAGAAATACCTTATTTTTTTTAAAAAAAAGATTTTATTTATTCATGAGAGACAGGGAGAGAGAGAGAGGCAGAGACACAGGCAGAGGGAGAAGCAGGCTCCATGCAGGGAGCCCGATGTGGGACTCGATCCCAGGACTCCAGGATCACGCCCTGGGCTGAAGGTGGCGCTAAACCGCTGAGCCACCCAGGCTGCCCTCATTTTATTTTTGTAAAGTTTGTTTGAGAGAAAAGTACTATCATCTCTATAAATAACAAGCTGATTGTAAAATTTATATACAAATGTAAAGGACCTAGAATAGCCAAAACATCTTTGAGAAAGAGTAGCAAAGATGAAAGATTAACACTACATGATTTCAAGATTTATTTAAAGTTACAGTAAGATATGCTTTGAAAAAAGTTCCAAGTCTGTCTGGCTCATTTAGTCCCATCTCGAGGAAGCACACGGGATTAAGAGAAACATATGCTCAGGCAGAAATTTTAACTGACATTGTATTCATGGTATGTATCACATTAAGGAAAAAAAATATGTAGTTGAATATTAGATTTGCTGGCTTAGGGACGCCTGGGTGGCTCTGGGGTTGAGTGTCTGCCTTTGGCTCAGGGCATGATCCCGGGGTCCTGGGATTGAGTCCCGATCAGGCTCCCTGCAAGGAGCCGGCTTCTCCCTCTGCCTGTATCTCTGCCTCTCTCTGTGTGTGTCTCTCATGAATAAATAAATAAAATCTTAAAAAAAAATTTTGCTGGCTTAACTATGTGTTGAATGTTGTATAAAAGTCATAGACATCTTTATAAATGCCTATTGATATAATGTAAAAATCATTTATTAAGTAAAAAGAATGTTTCCAGTATCTTAATAAAATTTTGATTCATAAAAAATAAAGCTACAGTAACATAATGTGATATTGACATAAAAATAAATTAAAAATCAACAGAATAGAATAGAAAGTCCAGAAAGATACACACACACACACACACATACAAATATCTGTTTTTGTTTTTTTAATTTGGTTTTTGTTTTTGTTTGTTTTGCAAAGGTAGAAGGGCAATTCAGTGGAGAAAGGGTAGTCTTTTCGACAAATGATCTTGGAACAATTGGACCCATTTGCCTAAAAAAGTGCACTTTGATCTGTATCTTGTACCACATGCAAAATGAACTAAAAATGAATCATAAACCTAGATATAAGAGCTAAAACTATAAAACTTCTAGAAGATATAGGAGAAAAAAATTTTAACCTCGAGTTAAAGATTTAGATATGATACTAAAAGCATGGCCCTTGAAAGAAAAAATTTGATAAATTGAACTTTATCAGATTAAAAACACTTTTTCTTTGAAAGACAATGTTAAGATAATGAAAAGACAAGTCACAGATTGAGAGAAAATATTTGTAAGTCACATCCAATAAAGGACTGATATATAAAACTTGTGAAGGATTAATAGCATGGAAACAATCCAATTAAAAAGTAGACAAAAGATTTGAATTGACATCTTACTTAAGAAGTTACACAAAGAGAAAAAAAAAGTTACACAAAGAGCAAATAAGCACGTGAAAAGATGCACAACATCATTAGCCATTAGGGAAATACAAATCCAAACCACAATGAGATACCATTACACACTTAGAAGAGGGGCTAAAATGAAAAAGACAGCTTAATAGAGATAGAAATTTTTTTTCCCCTGCCACATTAAAGTCTTGAGTAGGCTTGTTAAGGGCCAGTTACAGCTTTCTATGGTGATAGAGAATTTGTCAGCTTCTCTGTTAGGACTTCATGATCCGAGATGCATCTGAGGCAGCATAATTAATCGAAGGACAAAGAATTGGACAAAATGCATATCCTAGCCCTATTTCTTAAGGAAAAGTCCTGGAAGCTGCCAAATAACATTCCCACCTATATCCTCTTTGCCAGAGATTGGTGGCTGTGTCGCAACAGCAATGCATAATTTTTTTTCTCAATATTTCATCATTTTAACAGTGTTGGAAAAGGGAGAGGACTGGAAGCTGGTCCTGTGGAGGGGACTCTGTACAAAGGATTCTTCTTAGACCATGTCAGGTTTCCAGAAATTTCAGTTGTCCTCTCCTTGCAATGAGGGCTAAGTTGATTGAGATTTTGGGGCTCAGGACTTCCTACTTATTCTGTAAGTTACTGAGAAAAGTGTGTTAAAATCTGCACTTGTGGTGATAGATTTTTCTATAAGTTTTGTCAGCATTAACTTTCTAATTGTGAAACAATTGGCACACAAATTTAAGATTTTTATTTTCTTATTGAATTCCAGAGAATTTCATCACTCGTAATTTGCCAGAAGAATAGGAGTTGAAATCTACCAAGAAGGGCTGTAAATGATACTGGACCAAAACTATTGAAAAGAAGTTGGCTAATCTGATAAATGCTGAAGAACGGAGAGATGTATCACTGAAGGACTGTATGAGGCGATTATTTTATAACTTTGATAAAAATTACAAGGACTGGCAGTCTGCTGTTGAGTGCATCGCAGTATCAGATGTCTTACTGTGCCTGGCTAACTATAGTCAAGGGAGTGATGGCCCTATGTGTCATCCAGTAATTTTGTTGCCAGAAGAAGGCACTCCTCCCTTCTTATACCTTAGAGGATCTCGTCATCCCTGCACTACGAAGACTTTTTTTGGAGATGACTTTATACCCAATGACATTCTAATAGGCTGTGAGGAAGAGGAGGAGGAAAATGGCAAAGCTTATTGTGTGCTTGTTACGGGACCTAACATGGGGGGCAAGTCTACACTCAGGAGACAGGCTGGCCTATTAGCTGTAATGGCCCAGACGGGTTGTTACGTACCTGCTGAAGTGTGTAGGCTCACACCAATTGATAGAGTATTTACTAGACTTGGTGCCTCAGACAGAATAATGTCAGGTGACATCATGTCAGGTGAAAGTACATTTTTTGTTGAATTGAGTGAAACTGCCAGCATACTTGCGCATGCAACCGCACATTCTCTGGTGCTTGTGGATGAATTAGGGAGAGGTACTGCAACATTTGATGGAACAGCAATAGCAAATGCAGTTGTTAAAGAACTTGCTGAGAACATAAAGTGTCGTACATAGTTTTCTACCCACTACCATTTGTTAGTAGAAGATTATTCTCAAAAAGTTGCAGTGCGCCTGGGCCACATGGCATGCATGGTAGAAAATGAATGTGAGGATCCTAGCCAGGAGACTATTACCTTCCTCTATAAATTCATTAAGGGAGCTTGTCCTAAAAGCTATGGCTTTAATGCAGCAAGGCTTGCTAATCTTCCAGAGGAGGTTATTCAAAAGGGACATAGAAAAGCAAGAGAATTTGAGAAGATGACTCAATCACTACGATTATTTCGGGAAGTTTGCCTGGCTAGTGAAAGGTCGACTGTAGATGCTGAAGCTGTCCCTAAGTTGCTGACTTTGATTAAGGAATTATAGACTACATTGGAAGCTTTGAGTTGATTTTTGACAAAGGTGGTAAATTCAGATAACATTATGATCTAATAAACTTTATTTTTTAAAATGAAAAAAAATTTCACTATGAAATTTAATTCTTTATTTCATGTAATACTTATCTCATGGTCTACTTTAATATCAACATAGCTAAAATCACATTTCCTTCAGCTGGTGTTTGCATTGCAATTTTTCTCCCTTTTTTTTTTTTCTCCCTTTTTTTCTTCAACCATTTTGTGTTGTTATATTTAAAGCATATTTATTGTAGGGATGCTTGGGTGGCTCAGGGGTTAAGTGCCTGCCTTTGGCTCAGGGTGTGAATCCCGGAGTCCTGGGATTGAGTCCCTCATCAGGCTCCCTGCCTTTCTGCCTATATGGGGCCTGCTTCTCCCTCTGCCTATGTCTCTGCCTCTCTCTCTCTCTCTCTGTCTCTCAGGAATAAATAAAGAAAAATTTTTAAAAAGCATATCTATTATAAACAGTATATAGTTGAGCTTTGTGTTTTTAAACACAAAACTTTGTGTTTTTAAATTCAATCTCATAATCTTTGTTTTTAAATTGGAATGTTTAGGCTATTGATATTTAAAGTAAATTCTGATACAGTTGGATCTAAGTCTACCATATTCCTGTTTATTGTCTATTTTCCCCACCTAATTCTTTCTTCCTATGATGGTTAAATTTAATGGGCCAACTTGATTGGCCCACAATGCCTACATATTTGGTAAGATATTTAGATGTTTCTATAAGGGTAATTTTGAGTGAAATTAACATTTAAAATTGTGGACGTTGAGTGAAGCAAGTTGCTTCACTCAACACTGCATCACAACATCAGCTTTTCCATGGGTCTCCAGGCTGCTGCTCCTACCCTGTAGATTTTAGACTTGCCAGGCTCCATAATTACATGAACCAGTTTCTTAAAATCTTTTCCTACATATACACACACATCCTATTTATTCTTTTCTCTGGAGACCCCTAACTAATATGGTTTCTTAATTTCTCCTTTATTACTTATTTTGAATTAAGTATTTTTATTTTATTATTATCTTTTTTTTTGTATTTTAATAATATACTTTGGTTATCTTAAGTGATTACCCCAGACCTAGAGACTAAACAGTGAGCATGTGTCACATGTCTTGAATGCAAAGTTTTAAAAATTAAATTTTTTTCTTTCTGTGCTTCAATTGGGTTATTTTGACTTGACTTTAAGTTCATCAATCCTGGTGGCTGTGCTCCTAAGACAAAAGAGGACAGAAAACAATGGAAATAAAACTGAAACTGTAAACTAGCTTTAGAACAAGGAGATATTGCCATTCCCTAGCAATTAGTATTCAAGGCAGCATAGGAGTATAATTAGCTATTTATATATATTTTGACAAAGCAAGTTTTTATATATGCCACTTTTTATTGCAAAATAGCTATTTTCGCTTTTCTCAAATCCAATTAACGAATCTCCTTTGGGAATTGTGGTAGAAGTATCTTAGTCCTTATGCAATGCCCTGACCATCACAATATTATCCTAGTATTTAAGCAGACACTTCTACTCAAAGTTCTCTTGAAAGGATGGTTTCTGAAATGACATTCCTCATGAGAATATTTGTATGACTGAATAACTATTTTCATTAGAAATCCATTGTCTGTCTGTCTCATTCTATGTATATATATGTGTGTGTGATGTATTTCTTTTTATTATTTTAAATGACATTTCAAAGTTATCTGCATTCTTTTAGCCTATTGATACAGGGCACATCTGAAAGAGAAAAGGCAAAGTAAAAAGAAACCATTCTAAATCTGTTGGCAGATGTAAACAGATTCATCCCTGATATGAATATGGAAAGAGAAAAAGATACCATTGCAGCCCGTAGTAGCTGGAAAAGGCAAGAAAATAAATTCTCCTCTAAAACCTCTGGAAGGAATTCATCTCTGTCCACACCTTGATTTTAGTTTGGTAGATTTGTGTAGAACTTCTAACCTACATTACTGTAAGATAACAAATTTATATTGCTTTAAGCCACTGAGTTTGTGGTAATTGGTTACAGCAGTGATAGGAAACCAATACACCAGCCTTCCTCCATTTATCCCTGCAACCACGCATATTTTTAGATTATAAGGACATGTATTTGGATACAATTTCCTGCTGGAAATGTTGACTCAAACCCTCCTGCATGATGTGCCTGGCTGTTTGATTTATCTTTTTGATAAAAGTAATAATAATAATAATAATAATAAATTTCTTTCTTTCTTTCTTTCTTTCTTTCTTTCTTTCTTTCTTTCTTTCTTTCTTTCGAGAGAAGAGGTGCACTTGGCTGGTCTCAGTAGAGGAGGTGACTCTTCATCTCCAGGTTGTGAGTTCAAGCCCCACACTGGTCATTAATTAAAAAATTAAAAATAAAAAAGTGAGTTACCATGAACATTTTGTGATGAAGGTAAGAACAAGTTTTGATTGCTTTTTGAAAAAATGGAATTTTTATTACCCTATGCTACTCCAGGAGATAATTGATAAATGTTGAGTAGTTTGTTAGTCCTTCTCTTAACAGATGATCAAGGGAAACAGTTCAGTATGTTCAGCTGGAATCCTTTCTACATACATCCTTTGTGATGTATGGAGAGAATATGTGAATAGGGCCTGAAGGTCTGTGTTTTATTGAAGAGAAGGTATAGGGGAATAGGGCTTTGAAAGCTGAGAGTTGAGGGGGTGGTTAGAGAACGAACAATTGAAGTTTTTTATTTCTGGTGTGGGACAGTTCCTGCTGATGACCAAACCCTAGGTTGTGTCTAGATCTGTCTGTGAGAGGTTCAAGCGGGATAGAGACAGTCATTGCTGTTAAACTGGTCCTCAAAAATAAAAAAGTTTCCCTGATTTGTAGCATTTGTTGATTTTTGTTGTGTAAATCCTGCCACCATGGCTAATTTCAAGTTACCAACATGTTACTGAGTGAGGACCTAGAAAGATGCGAACAATCACCTCGTAGGAACTGGAATGAACTGGCTTCAACACATTGCTGAAAATAGGTGAAGGTCACTGAATTAGATAGGCAAACCAGTCACAAAGCCATGTTAGATGGGCCATGTACTGTGGCTATAGAAATCTAGGATTATGTCTTACATTTGGTATAAAAGAGGAGTGTGAACAAGGTTTCCTAAATCTTCACTGAGTGAGTAAGAGTTTGGAGAGTGGTCAGTTGGTAAGAATTATAAGAAGAGTAGGTTTTAGGGGGTTTGAGGGGTGGGGAGGGATATTGTCAAGGAAGCAGTGGAAATGTTATTTAAATGCCTTCAGTTAACTCTAATAGCTGATTTATATAATCTGTATATAAAGCTCTACATGATCCAATTTATGTGTGGGGTTCCAGTTATAAAGGAATAATTCAGGAATCAAAAGTAGTTGATAGTAATTCCAACCAAGCAACAAGGAAATCCAATATTCATAATTCACAATAACACCTTCCATATTTTTTTTTATCTCTCACATTGTAAAACTTCTTTCCCTCCTGTTAAAAGAAAAATTTCCACCATTTAATGATCTAGTAGGCTTTTATTCACCAATTCATGAATTGGGCAGCATTCAATCTAGCAGAAAGGCTGGCCAAGGAACTGTACAAAATGAAATACCTAAGTACAAGGAAACAGACACAGAGAAATTCTCAGTCAAAGCAGATTAGTTACTGTAAGGTTACTTACTGTCCTCATATGGAGCAAAGGGATGGTTCAGAGCCAGGTCAGGTAACTTGTGTCAAACAAGGAACTGCCGATTAGTTGTCTAGGCCTTCCTTTTCTGGGAGAACCAAGCATAGAAATTTAGTTAAGGGACACCTGGGTGGCTCAGCCCGGTAAGCGTCTGACTCCTGTTTCCAGGACCAATGTGCAGGGTTCAATACAAGGATCAATGTGAGGCCTGAACTCACAACCCTGAGACCAAGACCTGAGCTGAGATTAAGAGTCGGACGCTTAACTGACTAAACCACCCAGGCGCCCTATCACAAACTCATTTATTGAAAAGATCTAAATTTAAAAAAAAGGTTATTTTAAACTTCTAAGAAGAAACTTTTACTGTATTATCTAAGAGTTGACAAAGGAGTAATGAATAGATTCAAAATGAAAGGAAAATCTGGGCAGGCATTCTAGGGGAAAGCCATTTTCTAAATTTATTTATTTATTTGATAGAGCAGAGTAGAGCCAGTGAGAGAGAAAGAATATGAGTTGGGGGGAGGCAGGGGGAGAAGGAGATCCTAGCTGAGCAGAGAGCCTGATGCAAGGCTTCATCCCAGGGCCCTGGGGTCATGACCCCAGACAACGGCAGCACCCAACGGACTGAGCCACCCAGGCACCCTGGGGAAAGCCATTTTTGTGAGGACATTTGCTTAGCCTAGACAAAAAGACCTTTGATTGCCCTATGGGATAAAGAAATGAGGACCAACAGAAATGAGGACCCAAACTCTTTAAAAGATGGAGTTTTTAAGGATGCCTGGGTGGCTTAGTGGTTGAGCGTCTGCCTTTGGCTCAGGACTTGATCTTGGGGTCCTGGGATCAAGTCCCGCTTCGAGGTCTCTACAGGGAGCCTGCTTCTCCCTCTGTGTCTCTGCCTCTCTCACGAAAAAAAAAAAAAAAAGGATGGAGTTTTTGCCAACATATCCTCCCCAAATGCAGCTTATCTAGGGATGCAATGGCAGCCTAGCTTTTAATGAAGTGCTAGGGAATCCAGCAGGGTTTCGCAAGGATAGGAGACAGTGGGAGCAAAAGGGGGTGACAGAAGAGCAGACTTTCTGAGATGTTTGCCTTGAGTAGGGTAGGTTTGATCAACATGCTCTCTTTTGGGAAGATTTCTTTCCTGGTCCTGTAGCTACAGAAAGTAGGCTTTCTTTGAGCCATTTGGTCTCTGCCCATTGGTGTTTTTGGATTGGGACTCCTGTGCCCAGGCCTGGATATACTGGCAGCCAACAAAATCCCAGGGAATTCAGTGCTCAAGGTCGCTAGCCAGTTTGTATTTTCTTCAGTTTTCCATCTTCTGTCAGTTGCTTTATGGGTTTTGTCCAGGTTTGTTTGTTTCATAATTAGCA